GTGAGTAAATATTCGTTCATTCATTCATTCATTCATTCATTCATTCATTCATAGGGCCACCATAAGTTGGAGGATCTGATGACACATAACAAGAAGTGGGTAAAGGACTGGAGCTTTGTTTGCTAAATTGCTGCATTCTTGACCAACAACCGACCTTGGGGGGTGGGGTGAATAAAGTCCATCCTTTGAATTATTTTCTTAGTAACTTGCAATATGAGGTAGGGGTACACAGATACCACCCTGAAATGGTATAAACCATTCAAATGTACAAAGAAAGGACATCTTTATGGTTAAAAGTTTTTACTTGAAATGTGTTCCTACAGGAGTCAAGATGTTACAGGTTCTACAGTGAAAATATCTCGTAAGGGTCAGGAAGGAGCACTTTCAGATTTGAAATGGTAGATCTAGGAGGGTCAGATGGACGGAGGGATGGTTTCTTTGTAGATAATTCCATTTGTGAGTTTGAGGGATCTTATGAACATTGAGGCCAAAGCATTTGGCTTGGAAGTACGTCCCATTGAAATCAATTAGGTTTATTCCCATGTGTTTAAGATGAAATGGATCCCCCCTCCCAACAAAAGCACATTGCATAATAAGACAGAATATTGTGCTTGTACCTAAACAAGCAAACAACACCCCACATCCCAATGATTTAGGCATTTTCTGAGTCTTGCATCTCTGGTTCTCTGAAGATGCAGCCATCAGTTTACATAAATCCAACAGGAGAATGATAGCCTCTGCTGGCAGTGTTGGGGAAAATGTCGCTACATCATAAGCATTTAACTCTTAAGTGCACACAGGGAGAATCTCGCAACATGGCATCTGTCTCAGTATATCAAACCCCATGGATTTAATGCTAAGAAACAACACAAATTACTCCTGCTACACTAGCAGAGATGCTTTCAAGGGGATTTCCATTCTCTACCTTGCTCCGGCATTATAAGTTTCATTCTTTTATTTCCCCTTTTATCTTTCTCCTCCCTCCGTCTTTCAGAAGAAGTTTTCAGTATGCCTTATCCTGCTTCCACATACATGTAGTTCAAGCAGGACAATTTCCTCAGCCTTTCATAGTCACTGCCAGCCCAAGGACCACTTTTAATGAAGATAGCCTTTTAACCTCAAGCAAAAACTTTCCACAGGGGAAGTAAAATATATGCAATGGCAGTAGAAGGTCTAAGGCTTTTTTAAAAATATTTTTTGGTAATCGAGCTATTCAGTTGGGAAGGCAGACTTAGATTTTTTGTTTAGTTTTCTCCTTTTTTTTTTTTTTTTTTTTTTTATTTTTTTTTTTTTTTTTTTTGTGGCCTGGCAACATACTTACAAAAGAGAATTTGAGAGACTAGGTCAACTGGGTGCTAAAAGGGAGGCGGGAAATAGAATGCACTTTCCTTTTTATGTTGTGGAAAGGAATTTTCCACCAGAAGGTTAAGACCAATTGTGTTTTCTTGCAGCAAATTGACAGATTTTTCTAAATGTGTTTTAACATTATACTTTAATACTTTGGTGTGGAATCCATTTTTCAGTGGAACTATTTGACATTTTCTTATTTTAAGAGAGGCAAGTTCATACGATGTAGAGGAAGAAAGAAAGAAAGAAAGAAAGAAAGAAAGAAAGAAAGAAAGAAAGACCAGTGCAAAAGTTGAGCTCAGAGGGGGTGTGATCTGTGAGAAAGGGGATGCTAACACGCTTTATTTCAGATCTTAGAATCGCAGAAGATGCCTCTGAGCAAAGCTGTGGGAAGTGTCCGGTGGTAAGAGCGAGCTGTCGCCCCACACGCCCCCCCCCCGCCCCCAGTGAGGGTCTCCCTCGCGCGCGCGCAAGAGCCGCTGTGCTTTCAAGGCAGGCATTTGCATAAGATGTAGAACCCATTTAATACACTAGACAGTGACCTTGAACTGGCTAAAGCGCCGCCTCGGCTTGCATTGGGCTTGCTCTTTGAGCCTCCCCCGCCCGCTTTTCTTTTCTTTTCTTTTCTTTTCTTTTCTTTTCTTTTCTTTTCTTTTCTCCCTTCCAAAGGAGCTCCGATTCGCACAAGTTCCTTTGGTGCTGCAGACATACCCGCACGTCTTTAAATGCAAGGCAATGCCTTCCCGCAGGCGCGGTGGAGGGCTCTGAAACGGTTCTCCATCTGCACTTTACCTTGAGAATACATTCTGTGCACCTTTCTTTTTCCCCTCCTCCCGCCAGCTGCTTGTGCGGCTGCGGGTTTTTAATTTCTTGGAGCATCTTCGGTGGGATGGTTAAGCCAACAAACACATCCGCGAGCATGAAAAATAGTCTCCAAATCCACCCACACCCCCCCCACCGTGGAAAAGTGGCTGCTGGATACACCGCCCACAAAAGCGCGTGTGTCCCCCCCCCCCCCCCCCCCCCCCCCACTTAGTAATATCTATTATTCATGAGGAAGTCTTAGGCTCGTCTTTACAATGTTTTATTTTAAGGACTGCAGTAAAGTAATTACATTCTTTTGCAACAATAAGCGGGATGGATTTCTCTTCTCTCTTTCTCTCTTTAATAACCATCCGATTTTTCACCTTAAATGGGGATCTAATTTTGTGATAGAGAAAAATATAAAGTCTAAGCCTTTCTTCCCCCACTCTTTCTCGCTCTTTTAAACTATATTTATGTAGGAACCCGGGACATTTTTATTTTACTGTGGGTCATTGCAAAGGGTGATGAGAGCCGATGGGGAGGAGAGGAGGATGAGGATGGGCTGACCATCAGATGGAGACCTCACATTACATATCTGTGAATCTTTTCCTCAGCCCTGATTATACGGACCAGAATGTGGCACACGATTAACCAGCTTGGGTCCCATTGACGTCAATGGGAGTGATATGGTCTAACGTGTGTAGCCTCGAAGGTCAGTCGCAAGAATTATCCCCCCATTTTATATCAGGACAAAAGTGCCGGTGATCCCTACCGTGCGGGGTTGACTGTGTGCTTGTTCCGAGGGGGTGGAGGGGTCGGCGGATCGAATCTCTAATAGAGACACAGTGTGTGATGCTCTTGGATGGAAAGCCCGCGTTATTCCTAGTTATTACCCCCCTCTCCTCTCCTCCCTGCAAATGTTATTGTGCAGTGTGTGCAACCTTTTCCTGACTTGTATGGGAAGCTAAAGTTAGTCGTCCAGTATGGATGAGAGAACAAAGCCCGAGAAGCTCACGAAGCTTTATGGAAAATGTAGCATAGATCAAAACAAAGAACCATGAAAAATCCAAATTTGGGAGCAGTCCAGAGCACGTATTTGCTAGACTATAAAACTGATCCATGGTGGAAAAGCATTAGGTGATATGATCTCCGTTTAAATCACAAAGGACAAGATACTGTTCTGTCGCACCTGGAAAGGTGAAGCAATGGGCTAACCTTACACGATGACGGATTAACAGTGTTTAGCTGGAGCTGGAACGCGCCCGTTAAGGTATGCGAAGGACAGCATGTAGGTGTACATAGATAAAGGTGTTTCAGGGGCACATGGGAATGTGGAATATTAGGCAGCTGCCCCTTTAATAGAACTAGGAAATAAAAGTGTTTATTTGATTAACACGTGATTCTCCCCCTTCCTACATTGCTAGAGGAGCTGAAGTACCGAGCGTGTCGGGAGAAGGAGGAGTAGCCGTTAATGTAAAGGAAGCCTTTGGCGTAAATACGTTCTGTGGACTTTCAAGACTGCTGGGGTTTGTGCACACCAAAGTAGCATTTGAAATAGATAAATACCCCTTTCCACTGCCCGTTTTGGCTTGTTCACTTGGGGGAGCGGGACGTGCGCGTGAGTGCGTGCGTGCGTGCGAGGGGAAAATATCATTGATGATCCCTCCTGAAAATCCGTTTCTACGTATACATGAGTATATACGGTAAAATTGCCGTCGAGTCAAGCAGTCCTGGAAGTTAGCGGAGAAAATTCCTCAAATGTTCTCTTTCTGCCCTCCTCTTTTTCTTTTTCTTTTTTTCTTTTTTGCTGGGGTCGGGGGAGAAATCTTTCCTACTAGATAGCCTCGCTCTCCTTTGTTCTCTAATGCGCCGAGGTTTGATTCTTCCCAAATCCGGATCGCCTTTTAAGAGAGTCCAGCTCGGTGGAGATCGCCCGGCGGCGGCTGCCCTTTCCCCGCGGCCAGCCCTTTGGGGGGATCTCCCCCTCTCCACCCACGGACCCAGTTCGTCCAAGTACGAATTAGCGCGAACTGAAGGTCCAGCCAGACAGGTGAGATAAGGCGGGAAGGAGGTGGTGCCCCCACTTCCTTTGTTTAATCTCTCTCCTTTCGGGAGAAGGGTCATTCATTAAAAAGCCAGCGGGACTTGGCAAACACTGTATTTGCGTTTTCCTCGAGGTAAAAAGCTCAATGCCCCTCTAATTCGAAGACTCCGCTTGTTTATTTAACAAAATAAATAGGTGCGGGGGTTAGGAAAAGAGAAGCAACCCCCTGCTAAAGGTGGAAGGGTTAGAGAAATTTTTAAAACTCTTCCACCCGTATCTTCTGTAAATACGAGCCTGTTGCGGTTAGACTCATCCGTCTCCTTAAAGAGCCCGTAAACTTTATATGACACAATATCTAATAGTAATTTATTGGGAGATATTGTAAATTTCAACTGTTTTAGTTAATAAAGGAGATAATTAATGAGAAAATGGCTTAATTTTGCCAGCTGTTGAAGGGACCCTGAACGCAGCTGGGGGAAGGGTGTCATTTTTCCCCCTAACGGAAAACTATATATATTTATATATAATATTTTTTTACAATACTTTGGGCTTCTCAGGCCAGTGCTTAAAGCCGGTTGTTTTATTTTATAAAATGTTTTATGATTTTTTTAAAGCATATAAAAAACCGAAAGGCAGAACTTAATGTTTTGTTTTGTCTCAGATTGCTAAAGGTGGGTGGCACCCTTTCTCCAACGCAAGTTGGCGCTCACGTGACCCCTCCGGACCAATGGGGTGGACCTTTAGGTTTAACTATGTTTAATGTCAGATAGCAATAAACTAGAAGCTCTTGGTCAGGCCCGCGGAAATGGGCGAACATAATCTCCTTAATCCTGGGTTTGTGGGACCGCTGGTGAACATCCACACGGGAGACACCTTCTATTTCCCCAATTTCCGAACCTCCGGAGGACAGCTACCCGGCTTACCGTCTCTCTCCTACCCACGAAGGGACAATGTCTGTTCTTTGCCCTGGGCATCCTCTGAGCCGTGCAACGGATACCCCCAGCCCTACCTCAGCAGCCCCGTGTCCATTAACCCTTCCTTCAGCAGAGCCTGCGACCTAGCTAGAGTGGAAGAGAGCAAGTGCTACTATAGGGAAGCGTGCTCGGAGAACGCGCCCCTCAAAAGGGAAGAGCGGGTTAGGGACAATGCCTTGATGCCCCTCGAGGCGGGCATCCCCAATGGAATGAACGGCAGTTTCGGCAAATTTGACTATCCGGCTACTGAGGCGGTGTCCCACGACCCCCCTTCTTGCCAGTCCTTGGAGTCAGACTCCAGCTCCTCATTACTCAATGAAGGGAATAAGGGCGCCACCAGCGAGCCGTCCACAATGGTTTCCCCTATCAACCAAGGAAGCAATCTTTCCACCGGGGGTAAGAACCTGCGGCCAGGATCCGGATCGCTCAGAGCAAGGAAAAGCGGGTCGATGCGATGCCTCTTCTCTCTCCCCCTCGGCTTTCTCTCTCCTCCTCTCTCCCCTCCTCTCCCCCGGCTCCTTCTCTCCCGCGCACGCTGGCTTGGGAAGTCTGCTCGGGAGCCGCGCCGGTTGGTATAAATGCCCTGGAATTAGCAGCTGGGCTGAAGCATGTCTATTTGTGCCGAGGCCACTAGGGGTAGCCCTCAAATGCCTCGTGCTTTATTAGGTGGTGCTTCTTTTAAAAAGAAAAGCCTATAAACATGTAAATATCCCATAAAAGAGATCGCGATGGCCCAGGCAGGCAGGGAGATTCCCGTGCCTTTCGCTCTCCGCCTCACGCCCGGCCCGCCCCGCTTCCCAGCCAGCCCACTGCCTCCAGGGCTTATTGGCCGCCGGCTGCGGAGAGCGCTTGCCACAGACACGAACTGCGGCGCGGGTGCTGCTGGAGGCTGGGTGCCCTCCTTTCGGGGTGCGACCCGGCGGCGGACCGGCTGCAGGAGCCCTTGCCGAGCCAGGGCAGAGGAGCAGAGTTCAACGGCGAGTCTTTCCAAGGGCTCCTCTGCACCCTTGGGTGGGCGCCTCAGGTGCAAGGCTGGAGGATGCCAAGCTGCCCCCGAGACCCGGCTCCCGGAGCCCCGGTTCCTTTTTCCCCGCTAGCCCTTTCACAGAGAATCGCGAGAAGGCGCAAGACAAATGCCGCCTCTCCCCCGCCCCACGCCTCATCCTTCTTATAAGCTTCCCCTGACGTTCCTGCTTCACTAGCGGGCAACGCTTCCCGGAAGAAGGGGCAGTGGGGTCCCGTCCCTTGCGAGGTGTTTTTGGATCGCTTTGGCCCTTCCCTCTGTAGAATCTAGCTTTGGGACTCCAGGTAGAGGATCCTTCGTCTCTGAACTTCAGATCTACCTCTCCTAGGCTTGCTTTCCAAGTCACAGCAGCCCATCTGCTCCTTCAGTCCATGCTTAAATGCCCTTCATTCCAGCTGATGATCCTGGGGCTTTTCCCCTAACTGAACTTAAAGGGCCACTTTAGAGGGGTTGTTTGTCTTTTTCTGCTGCTTTTTAATCCATGCCTTTTCCAAAATTCCGATAGCGGGCGTGTGCATGTCTCTCTGCGTGTAAGAGGAAATGCTAGCCCTCTCCCCCGCCGCCGCCGCCGCCGCCGCCGCCGCCGCCGCCGCCACCTCTGCCCAGATCCGGGCGGTTCTGTTCGGAGACCCTCTACTGCATGACCGGTCTGCATGCGTGTCATGGGAGCCTTAGATCTTGGAATCTAAAAGGCAGATGTAGGGGGTCTTCCCCCGCCCTACTTTCTCTCGAGGCGAAAGCATCTCACCGGCTGTTTGCATGGAGAAGTGCGTCTCTCATATTCTCCAAGACCGCGGGTAAGAGGGAGGAGGGAGAGAATGCTCAGTTTTGCAACATTTCCCCTCTCCCAGGCTCTCTCCCTCCCTCCCTCCCTCTCTCCGGCTTCCTCTCTCTCTCTGTGTGTGTAAAATCTTCTTTCCATCCCGCTGTTCTTAGGTGCTCCCTGGTACCCGATGCACACAAGGTCCCGGAAAAAGCGGAAGCCCTATTCTAAACTGCAGCTAGCAGAGCTGGAAGGGGAGTTTATGGTCAATGAATTCATTACTCGCCAAAGAAGGAGGGAGCTTTCAGATCGGTTAAACCTGAGTGACCAGCAGGTGAAGATCTGGTTCCAGAACCGGCGTATGAAAAAGAAAAGACTCCTCCTGAGAGAGCAGGCCCTTTCTTTCTTTTAAAGTTCCAAGTCCATATTGGGTAACCACGGAGGCGCGCAGCCTCCACCGCGGCTGATGGTCTCGGGACACTTACCTGATATGGGTTAGATTATTTTCCTTAAAGAAGAAAATCAGTATCCTTTTCAAAAGCCCGACAGCAGGCGCGCGCGTGCGCGTGTGTATTTGTGTGTGTGTGTGAGAGAGAGTGAGACAGAGAGAGAGAGAAAGAGAGAGGGAGGGATGGAGGGAGGGAGAGTAGGAGAAATCGCTTCTCTTCTACTCTGGACCTGTTGGGGAGAGCAATCCAAATGTGAATAGACAGAACCGAACCCCGTCTCAGTCAGCTTTGTCAGCCAGTGTTGAGGAGGTTCTGAATGGACGTTTTGAGCCCGAACTATCGGAACGTCCCTTGCGCGTGTGCAGGCATTTACAGGTACAGGTTTTTCACCCTCTGGCTCCTTCTTATGTTTCCGACGGGACTTGGGTTGGCCTTGTTGTTTGGTAGACAGCCCGTTTGTCAGCGGGAAAGCATTCTTGGAAGCAAAAGTCACTGTGTCCTGTAGTATACGATCGGTTGAGTGTGTTGGGATTTTTCATTCTCTGGAGGAAGAGCTTAAGTGGATGTGGCGTTCCTCTTAAATCAGCTGTAACCATTCTTATGGAGAATGGCGAGCCAGTGTTTTATGTTTGCTAGAGTTTATTTTCACGGCAAGTGTGATGAGGAACTAAGTTCAATACCTGTAGAACAGAGGTTAGTCGGATATCTACATTCATGACAAGGAATGTCCAATATTTGGCACACCAAATATTATATATCCTATGCATATTTTATATGCATCCCAGCAGAGGAAATCAGCAGATCCTGGTGCTGTTCAGATGTTTTATGGAAAGTCGATGCAAGATGTATGCTTATTTTCGCACTCCCCGTGGCTGTGTGGGCCCACACGCTGGTTCGCAAATACACGCTTCTAAGGCTGAAATTCCCCCACACTGGTCACTACCTGGCGGAGGGGCGGGAAGCCCCCTTCTATTCCGTGGGATTGCTTTCCCGTATATGGCTGCAGAATTTAGGCCAAAGGGTCAGGACACTTTGCATCTAGTGGATTATTTCTTTAGGAATTTTCTTTATTACGTTGCCTTGTGAAAAAATGAGCATTGCAGAGAAGGCATCTTGCATTTGGGTTAATCGGACCGCCTGCATTCTCCTTGCCCCCCCCTCCCCACAACAGAATGCTTAACAATAATTTTAATTTGCGTTTTGATGATAGGCCCACTGAAGGAGTCCTTGCGCTGCTTTATGTTCTTGTGTTTATTGAAGATCAAGATGGTGGGGGGGGAGGGGGAATGCCCCTTTTCTACATTAACTATAGTAGAAGCCCCTTGGAGCTAATTAAGCTATTAATAGCTCTCCTCCACCTTCTAGGAGCAATACCTCCCAACATTAGCACTTTCTTTCATGGCTATCCTTTTCAAACTGAAGGAGCAGAGATGCCCTTCTGCACAGCCCACTATGTTTTCCATATATGTTTGAATTAAAGAAAAATGAGAAAGAGCAGTTATGTTCTCTCCAGAATAAGGATGATCTATGTTTGTGTGCGTGCACACTCCCTTTATTTTCATTCATGATTTTTCACAGGCAGTAGCTGCCGATCGCGAACTCTTACGGGGTGTGTTACCTCATTCCCACAGACACACGGAGCACAGATTCTGCTTCTGGGGATACGCAGTAATTTCTGCCATCCACTTCCACTCCGCCCTCGGCTCGACCAGCTCTGGCGTTACCTTTGCCTTAGAGAACGCCCCGGGGCCAGAGGCGAGGGCAAGGCCGCCTTCTCCATCCCCTGCGCCACTGGGTGAGCACCGCTTACCATTTCCGGAGGGAAATGACAATTCGGTGTGGTACCAGTTGCCAGGTTTGGCCATTCCTTGAGCTCTCCAGTGGCCCGCTTGGCTGTGGCGAGGTCTGGAGAGGACGGGCGAAGGCAACAGGACAAGACGAGCCCCCCCTCCACCCGCGCCCACATGCTTAAACTTAGCCGTACATTCCACTGAGACCTCCGCGCCTTTGTGGGCCGGGGCACAAAACCCCTTTCCCGTTCAGTTCTGCTGGCTTCCTAATTACACCCTTAAAATAAAAAATGAGTTGGTAATGTGCGTGCGTGGAGGGGTGGGGAGTCCAGAATGCGCCGCCACAGCAAAGTCGGGCGAGGGGGTCAAGACGGTCTCGCCGCGAGTTTCGCTACTACAAGCTTTGCTTCATTCGTTTTATATCAGAGGGGATTAATTTTATGACAAAGGCAACGTTTTCTGGGCAAGACTCAATTGTCACCACGTGCTCCTCGCGTCCCGGCGTTCATGGTCATGACCGGTGGCAGGAATGCCTTGCCTTTACGAGCTGCAAAGGATGCCGTCTAGTCCTTAAAATGCCTCTGGCCCCTCCCTCCCCCCTCCGGCCGCCTTTTCTCTCTCGGTTTGTTTCCCATGCCTATGTCAACATTCCTTCGCCTCATCCCACCCTCGCCCCGCGCCAAGGTCCTCCGGTCTGAGGGGGCCCCGCTTCGCTATCACGCTTGTGCAGGGAGGCTGTCGCCGGGCCCTGTAAAGGAAGCCTCTGCCCATTCGTCGCCCTAGGAACTCGGCCCCGAGCCTCAGCGGCGCGCAATAAACAGAAATGCTCGCGTAGGCTCACAAGTCAGTCTAGCTACATTTTTCAATTTTGTGCACTGAACTGTGTGTTCGTGGGTGCGCGTGTGTGCGTGGTGGAGCGACGGGGGACGGGAGTGAGCGTGGAGGAGCCCTGCCTAGGTCTCCAAAAGGGCACCTTGAGGTGGTGGGCGTCCGCCCAGGTTATCCGCTGCAGGGATTCCCATCTCTGGAAGCAAGCCGTCCCTGACTTCGCGGCGTCATTCGCCACTGCCTGCCACCTCTCCGCCCCCCCCCCCCCCCCGCTTTCTTGTTCGTACCGTGTTGTGTTTTGGTTCCTTTCCTTTCTCTCCCCCACCCCCTTTGGTTTTTTTTTTGGAAGAAGAAGCAGAAGTGTTTTCGATCAAAATTACGACCCTGACTGAGCCACTGAAGTGTAATATGCTGTATTTGATGAATATCTTTGTGGAAGCCTTGGGTTTGCGCAAAGAGGGACTGTCGGTGGGAAAACGTTCAAGGCGCCCGACACATCCATATTGTACTTAATTGACTTGTTCGAAGGACACATCTCCAGAGCTTCGCCCTCCCGGTCCCCCACCGCCGCGGCCTCGCCGCGCAAACCCGGGCGAGGGCTCGGCGCGCTCGGGAGAAGGAGCGCGCTTGGCCAGGCGCTTCGATTTTACGGGCCGTGTCATAACGCAGCAGCGTCGGATTGAAATCCCTTCATCCGGGAGGGGATAAAAGGAAAAGCGAGAGCGGGAGAGCGAGGAGAGAGACTGTCTTGTGAATATTTTCCGCGTCGAGAGCCATTTCTGCCTACGGTGAAGGGGAAGGCTTTTCCGCTTGGGAAGGCAGGACACCACCCACCGCCAAGGCGCTCCCACCGGGAAGCGTCTCCTCCTCGGTGTGAGATTGTCTCCTGGAAGTCGTTCTTCTCCGTGGCCCCTCCAGCGTGTGCAAAAGGGAGCTGGGGGCGGGGGGTCCCTTGGCAAAAATGAAGAAGTGTGAGAAGTTTGAATATATGCAATATTCTCTTTCGGACTGCATTGAAATATTATTCCGTGTGGATTCTGTTCGTCTTGTGTTAGTCTCCCGTGTCCGTGGCTCGGCTCCTTGCTTGTTCCTCACTAGTCTAGTTTCCCGCTGTTGTTATGCGCATCGTTCCAATATAGTCCATATGTAATGTTTCTTACCTCAAGCTATATTATATGTAGGGCCTATGCAAATGTCTGTCATAGCACGTTTCCGGCTTTATATAGTCATGTAAAAAGTTGTTTCACAATCATGATTATAATGATGATCACGATGATGAGGATGATGATAATTATAATAATAATAAATTGAATGTATTATGTGATTTCTGATAACAAATAAAATGGCTCAAACCTCTAGTCAGTAATTTACTGTCAAATGAGGAGAAATTGGCAAGGTTAATGAAAGAGTGTGGCACACCCCAGCCCACCCACCCCAAAGAAGAAAAAAAGCCTTGGAGACATAGATCATGTTTTCCTTTAAAAAATAAAAAATAAACGGATGTGTAAAATACGTTGTAAAATAGGGGATGCCTCAGAGCATGATAATGACCATAATTTTAACAAAAAGCTGAGAAGATAGGAGTAAATTAATCTCAGATGTTAGTATTTTACTAACAGTAAAATACTGTTGGGACGGTAGGAAAGGAGGAAATCTCTGGATGGACTTTCTCAGAAAGAGAATTATTATTAATGTGCATATGCCCCTTTCAAAACAGATCGATGTAAAGAATAGGCTCCTCTAGGTAAGGAGAAGAAAGAGAAACACAGATAGTGGGGCTTTGTGCACGCGATGTTTTTTTTTTTTTTTTTTTTTTTTTTCAGGAAGAGTCCATTTAATTGAAATTTACAACCCTTGAATGCAAACACGCACAACTTGGATTTGACCAGTAACCCCATATTTTATCCTTCTCATTGATCTATTTATTCTCTGTCTTGGATATCCAGCCCCCTTCTCTCTTTATCTGTCTTCCCAGGTGACTTCCCAGCGAGTCCGAGTGGTAAATTTAAATAAATTAGGATTTACATATAATGGGCTTTGAGCACCTTTCGGATCAACTAGAACGTTTAGGGGCGGCTGAAATAGTGCATTAATGCGTGGGCACACGTGCCAAGACCCTTTCCAAAGATCGATAACTGGGCCAGGAGTGGGGAGCGGCAAGCTACCCCCCTGCAGGACTCCTCACGATTCTGCTCCTAGTGAGGGGGGGCTGCGGGGGCGACGCGTGTGCGGCTCTGTGTTTGCTTTCACGGCTTCCTTTTCTCGGTTCTTGGAAAAAGGTGCGTGGCTGAGCAAAGGCCCTGGCTTCCAATGGGTGCAAAGGCATCCGAAAGGAAGGCTTCCAA